ATTGTCTGTTTCACCTAGTTTGAGATGGAGATTGAAGCCAAGACTTTTTAATTAGACCACTTGAATAAAAGGGTGCTGGATCCCCCAAAGGGAAAACTCTCCACATAGCTGTACTGGACCTCTCATTCTGACAGTGTCCCAATTCCAGTGCATCAAGAGTTTGATTAATCAAACTCTGTGAAGATGTCCTTTGCTATAAGCCATGAACTTAAAAGCCTGGGTCAAACAGACAAAACAGATGGGGATGTGAGGGGATGATGATGTAGTTTGTTTAGATTGGTCACATTGTGATGATCCCATCCGCTTTCCACTCAAACACTGATGCCTCTGTTTAAAGTGTGCAATTGCCTCAGCTCTACATCCTAAGACAAAGATTTCTTTCATGAAGTGTCAACACTGAAGAAAATGATTTTAACGTTTTCAGACTGACCAGTGTGTAAAATGATTCATATTGTGTAAATTGTTATTCAGTGTTTTGCCTGTTTCTTTACATTTACCAAAAAAATCCATTTAGGGATTATTTAGAGTAGGCTACTTGAAGTATATGCTGCATCACATCACGCCACCTCTGCTGCATGCTCTAATCTAAGGAGAGCTTAGTTATTTCATCCTAGCGCAAAACCAAAATGAGATGAGATGAGTTTCCAGTCATATCAAGGTAAGCCAGTGTGGGGAGTGCAGACAAGCACGTTCCAGGAGTCGCTGGCACTCGAGTCACATGACCATGCAGATTACTGAGTCACGCCCCTACACATACTCATCCTTCAGGAGTGTAAGGTAACCATCAGCTACATACCAAGGCATGTGGTGTATTTCTTCTTTTACAGAGACTAGACATCTAATTTTAGTGAACTAACCTTTAAAAAGCAAAAGGCTGCCATCTGATTTTAGTCACAGAGTAAACACTCTTGCTCTGATCTTAAAACAGAACACGACCTTTTCCCTTTAGGCCTGTTTAGTGTTAATAACTGAGTGGCAGTAGTGTTGACACCTAGACTATGGCACAGTAATTACAGCCATTGATAAGTTTAAAAATAGCTAGTGCTTTCAGGAAGAGGTATTTGTTTGACACTGCAGTAGATTAGAAACCTCGTCTGTTCTGCTGGGAAATCAAAGGACATTTTATTGTCACATCAATCCATCTGGGAAGCTTTGCGTCTGGTGTGTGTAACTTTAAGTCGAGAACATGTTCATATTTTTTTTAAACCTTGTTCTAAGGCCTGTGGAATGGTCTGTCTAGGTCTCTTCAATGTTTTCTAAAGGTACTGATGTCTCTTGCAAATACTTAAAAATTAATTTCTGCAACATCCTGCTCCCGGATATTTGTCCACAAGGTTTTAAGATAGCAATAAAGTCAGAAAGGCTCAGTAATGCATACCTGTAAAAGAAAAAAAAAAAAAGCTATAAGAGTAAGAACAAGGATAAAGGAACAAAGGCAAGCTCTAGAAGCTTACATCAACTTTATGACTATCATTAAAAACTAGTTTTAGATAAGTACTAAGATAATTACAAAAAAATGTATAATTATTATAAAAATGATGTATTAACAGTGTATATATACATATGCAACAGATCCAATCTGACATAACATAACAGATCCAATCTAAAGCCTCTTATTTTATGCATAGATGACAAAGAAACAAGATAACATCATGAAAACAGGAGTTTTTGAAGGCACAGTACTATTCTGAATGAGTGTAAATATTTTTTAGAAAAGAAGGTTGAAATTCATAGTAAATCAGAATCTAAAACTTTTTTTTGTTTATTTTTTTTTTAGGAACCATTGGTTCTTTGAATCATTGAACAATACCAGCCTCTTAACGCCCACCCAGTCCACCAAGACTTTGATTTATAAGGGTCTGTTTTTGTTTACAATGATTTTCAAAGAAAACTGATTTAATCGTGCGGAACCAAAAGGGTTTTCCTCTCACTTTTGTTCGGTGAAGGTACATACGTATTTTCCTGTACCATACAAAAGAACAAAATCTTCTTTATTTATGTTTAGAATTTCACAGGATTCACCCCCGCCGCAGTGAACAAAGGTTTAGGATGTTGCATTAGGATACTGTGACAATAACATCTTCACAGCTACCCATTATAAAACATTATAGATTTCGAATACAGCTTAAAGTGTACTTAAAGCCTCAATATTAAGACTTTACTAATTGGATACATATAAGTTTTGTTCTTTTTTTAATTAGACACTTTTGCTAAAAGAGTTTTTAGTGCTTTTAGACAATGCATACATACAGACATATAGACTGGGCACTAGAGTCAGAGTTGGTATTAACATGCCATGCTGTTAACTAGGCTATTCCCATATTAGAAATCAATCAAACTGAGCAGTGCAGCTCGCCTTTATTGACTGCCTCTTATTTTTATCAGTCACACTGTCAACAGTGGCATTCCCAATGAAATGAAATCTGTGCATGTTTCACATATCCCTTTGAGACTTCAGCATTGCACAGTCTATTTTAGATGTTTTAGATTTTGAATCTATAAGAAGATGTGCAATAATTTCAGATTTAGCTCTTTTCTGACTCATTATTGACATAATGCAAATTCAGATGGAATGAGTGTGATAAGGCTGGAGTGACATCTTTAATTGTTTTAACTGTCTATCTAGCTATTAAAAACAATTCCATATTCCATGTGGCTATAACATGTAGCAAGAGATCTGATTAATGTGAGATTGCTAAAGTGTGAGTGTTGCCTTTTTTGGAGACTAGTAAAAAAAAAAAACTGCATAGTGAGTGTCCTGACATGGCTAAATATGCTCATAAGTTCATAACAGACA